AGAGAGAGAGAGAGAGAGAGAGAGAGAGAGAGAGAGAGAATTGTAAATCTAATACCAATTGTAATCATATCATAGGATACCCGAAAGACTGACCACACAATGAATTGCGCGATACGTGTGTATTATAAACCCTCTTATAATGATGCAGGATTTTGGTTGGTGTACAGCATAAGCCCCACTAATCATACACTGCCATCATTGATACCATTCACTCCCAATGTGTTGACATTTATTTACAACACACACCTCAACGCCCAGACGGGAGAAGTTGTTGTGACTCAACTGCAAACCTCGCTCACAGGTAACAAACAATGGGTTTCAAACATGATATATAAGAGGGAAGAAGAGTGTGACCAACTGTCCGATTGCCGGACACCAGTGTTTGTACGACAAATACCCGATCACTTGAGGCACCGGTTGGAGGGTATTGTCGACTACTATGTGGACAGTCAGACATCGGGTCATATGCTGTGGTTTAACATCAATGGACGGCCGATGTATTGTTTCACACCTTATGGTCAAAGCCTTTCCTTACAGGTATTTTCAATAAAATTAAACTTTAATTTAAAACCATTTTTTTGTTTTCAGTGCAATTCATCAGCAAATATGACTTCGTTTGAAAAGCACTGTTTCACTGAATCCACAGTCGGTGTCATTCCTCCCGACGATTCTCTGACCGTATTATGGATTTTATTTGCAGTTTTGTTTATCATTTTCGTACTACTCTTTGGATCAGATGTAGTGATGTTATACAAGTGGTGGAGACAAGAGTCAGCTGATCCGCCGACAAGTATTACAAGCTTTGGCAGCGATTTGTCGACCAAAAAAGGATCCGCGATATCAACAAAGACCTCAAAAATGATTACTAAAAGATTTTAAAAATAATTGATTTAATTTTTAGTCACACTTCCTGTTAATTGTAATGTGAATTTAACTAAATTTTTAATCAAATGTTGTTTTAAACAAATTTTTGTCTGTTTTTATTACTTTATGATTTTTGTTAAAAGTTTTTGTGTAATTAATTGTATGCAAACTCTTATCAAAAATGATTTTTAATTTGGAAATAATTGTGATTTTAATTTTGTTAAAAATTTGATTATGTTAAATATTATACTAAACCAATATTGATGTAAAATTACTAAAAAAAATAGTATGTGTAGTAATTGTAAATTTTACATCAATTGTATTATTAAATATGATCTCTAAATTAAATAAGATCAGGTAAATAAAATTATAATCTTACGAAATGTTAAGAAATACATTTATAACTATTGTAAAATATTTTTGTAATTTAATGCAAATGCCACTTTATTGTAACTTAATATAAATTAAATATCTTCTTATACTGTTTAATTATATTTGTTAAATAAAACCATATATAAATAATTATTAAATTAATCACTAAATACACATTTTCTGTTTAATCAATATAGCTTAATTTTCAAACTTTTAAACTAGATTAAATATCAGCAAAGATGATGGTCAGCGTGTATTTGAGTTCATTAATAGGTAGAAAAACTAATAAAAGCGACATGATACTTTAATAAACAACATTAATACTTTAATAATTGTTATATTTCAGTCTTAATTGGGCACAACTGTCAGTTACAGACGGTGTCGATAATGCAATACCCGAGCATTACAACCAATGATTGCGGTATTTCCCGTCTTAGCCCCGGGATGGAACAATCATGTTTCACCTTTCACAAACAATTTGCCAATTTGTACGGTGGCCGAGAAGCCATGCCCGGTGATGTGCCCTGGTCGGTTTTTATTAGAAAGAAGGAAAAACAAAAGGGGAAATGGAATAAGTATGTATTGGAAATAATTTTTATTTTGTATCATATTATTACTAACGTGTATGTAATATTATTTTTAACCACAATTCAGCTATGTATAATGTGGTTCATAGGATCGTTCGGTCCCCCCCCCTCGCCCCCCCACCCTATGGGATCTAACATGGGATTACAACTTAAGTCTATGGCTTAAGTCACATGAGTAATGCTAAGTCTATGGCATAAGGATAACATGACCAATGCTAATCCTATGGACAATGCTAACTCAATGAGGCTAATGCTAATCCTATAAACTAATGTTAAGTCTATGGACAATGCTAAGTCTATGGGGAGTGATAATCCTATGTTCTCTTATTAAATGTGTAGAATCTACACTGTAGATAATGCTAATCTATTCTTTAAGCAATACCCGAATTGTGGTTAACGTATAGCATCGCTGCGTGATCTTTGTTTATATAAATAAACCATTTTTGTTATAATGTTAAGTTATAGATGTGGGGCGGCGATATTAAATGAGCGCTGGATATTAACTACTGCCCATTGTGTACAGTAAGTATTACTTGAGTAGTTTTCACATTTAAATAAACATGTTATGTCATAAGTAGAGACTCTATTTATCGGGAATAAAAACACCCAAAATACTTAAACGTATAAGATACATCATGATTAATGTTTTTTGACAATGTAACTCTAGATGTACTCCTGGTACTAGCTGCACTGAATTTGTGCTCGAGATTCACCCCGGTGTATCTCTCAATGTATCTGACCGGGGTGCAATATATTATGCGGATAAGATCATTAAACACAGTAACTATACCAACAAACCAGACGAATACGATGTAGCATTGGTCAAACTGAACACCAGCATTGTTTTTAAGCCAGATCGTTTACTGAACAGCATATGTCTGCCAACGCGCCACCATCTCAATGGCAAACACGAATTGGCACTCGTGGCCGGTTATGGTTATGTAGGTGAACTAGGTTATCAAGCACCGCTCCGCGTGGGATATATTCGCATACAACCGACTAATATGAGCTGGGTCAGTATGATTGAAGCGTATCAGTACCCGGATGATTCTGGTACGCGTATTTGTCCGGTAAGTCATATTAAATTATTACTATAATTAATATCTAATGTTTATGTTAAAATCAATCTGTAATTC